ATGGGTGGTCTGAGGCTCGGCAGGCTGCAGGCATCAGGCTGGGGCTTTGTTTTGGTGCTGGTTGGGCCTTGCAGTGGAGACAAAGCAGTGCCGCATATGGGTGGTCTGAGGCTCGGCAGGCTGCGGCTGGGCTTTGTTTTGGTGCTGGTTGTGCCTCTGCCTGGCTAGGGTTCATGTGTCTGACAGAGCTGCTCTGAGTATTGAAGTCACACCACCTTGTGGAGTGAGGGAGGCAGACAGGTCCTGAAGCCTGGCGCTGCCACCTGGGCACTGTCACTCCGCTGCCACCACCCAGCTCCTGCAAGAGCCCCACACTTCAAACAGTGGCCGTGTCCCCCAGCAAGCAGGCTGTGCGCCAGTGTGCACATGTGTTCCTGGAGGCACAGTGGCATGGCGGGAGCAGACGTGTGAGCCTCAGGCGGGGCAGTGGTCCCTCTGGGAGAACACGAGAACGGAGACCTGAGCCATGAGTGGAGGCAGAGAAAGGTGAGTGTGGAGAAGGCTCTGTGCTGCCTGGGGATGAGGAGTCATCAGACCCCACTTCCTGCCCCATGCAAGTGCTCTCTTGTGCGCATCTGGAAGGGCAGGACTCATGCGTAGGGACTGATGCTAGGCTGAGGTGCCACATTGTGCTGTCTGAACACATTCCCGTGCCAGGGGAGCTGTTTGGAGGTGTCTTTACTGGCATTGGTGTGTCACACCTGTGTGCTGTCCGCTGTAGTGCTGAAGTCCTCACAGCTTCAGCGTTGTCCTATGTCATCTATTAACTCTTCAGTGGTATCAGAGTTTTAATGTTAGACAAGAAGTGAAGCATACTGGTTGATTTGGAATGCAGTGTGATTGGAGGGGGCTCTGCATGTGCGCTTCCTGTTTGGCTTAAGAGCCAATGCTGAGGAAGCTGGGGGAGGGGGGCATTTCCTGAACAACACTGCTGCCGGAAGGGTGTGTCCAGGAATGTCACAGGACTCCCCATTCTTCAGTCTCCTCTCCGCTGTCTCAGTGTGAGCCCTGGGGGCCTGTGTCAAGGCACCTGTGCCCAGGGCCACTGCAGGATCTGTTGTCCCTTTCGGCCCTCTCACAGAATGCACAGTGGGGCTAGCCCCTCCCACCGCCCTTAGCTCCTGTTTGGAAAGTCCTGTGACTCAGGCGCCCTTGTGAACCTCATCATGTGGGATGGACAGCACCCAAGGCGGTGGCGGGCTCCCCCCTGCCCCAGACTTTCCATCATTTACCTACCTGGTTATGTCTCCCTTCAGGGTGTCCTTTCTGCCCATGTTCCCTGTGGGCTCCAAGTTCAGACTTGCTGAGGTTCAAGGCTGCACCTTCAGACCAAGGACAATGCATGGCACAGAAGTGGGATTTGTTGAGTGCTCACTCGCAGCCAGACCCCTTTCCAGGGGCTTTGCGTGCTTTACCACCGTCCTTCAGTCCCAGGAGACGAACAGCAGCGCTGGGCTGACCCACTTCTCCGTGGAGGGTTGTGGTTTGTGGTAGGGGAGTCTGGCCCCTAACTCCAGAAGCACCTAGTGGCTTCCCAGTCAAAGGTGCAGAAGCGGTTGTCCCTGTCTTCATTTGTGACCAGAAGGTTGTTTCCCTGGCTGGGAGTGTAAGCTTTCCTTCATCCGAGCAGTTTTGCAGAACGTCCTAGCATCCTCTCGGTGTTTTGGGAAGGTGAATATAAACCAGTGGTGCTTTGTGGGGCAGTTGCTCTTTTGGAAGGTAATAAGCTTCCTTGTTTTCTAGCTTGCCCTCCCCATGTTTAATTTGCCCCTCGGTCTGTTTGTTGTTGCTCTGGGAGTGGCCATGCATCCAAGGTGCAGTCCTGCCTTTTGACTTCAGCTCCACGGCCACTGCCCGGTCAAGCTCTCCCTCTGGGCCCCCTTCCTCCCGTGAGTGAGGCGATCCTGGGGTCACTGACAGTCCTTCCAGCTCTAAATTAGCTGATGCCTGGCCTCTCCTTGCCACTCAGAGATAAATGGCAGACCCTCCTTCCACGCTCCCCTTGCATCAAAGTGAATAGCGCTTAGGCTTCCACTGCTGAGGCAGCTGCCTACACAACTGAGACACGGGCGCCAAGGGTCCCGCTCGGAGAACTGGCATCCCTCAGAGGTCAGTGAGCACAGGCAGCTCCTAGGGAGGATCTGGACTGGGCCCTGGGTGATGCTTCCACATGTTTTGGGATGCTTTGGCCATTGTCTATCTTGCACAGCCTGAAACACAGAGCACTATGGATGTAGGATGCAGGATTAGTAAAATTCCACATTATCACTGCTGAAGAGTGAGGTCGCACTTACAGTTGATTGCACTTCTTCACCTTCCAGGAATAGATGAGGAAAGTCTCTTTTTTGTTATATGTGGTTATTCATCTGCAAAGAATGAGGTTTCTCCTAAGTCAGTGATGAAACTGATAGCTAATGCAGTTTTTCATATGTGGAGTGGACCTATTCATATGGAGCCAACTGCAGACCCTCCCCGTTCCCTGCTGCTTCCTGGCACTTCGCATCTGCCCAGCTGATGTTTACACCACCAGCTCCGGGATCCCTGATACAGGGAGGTTTCCTGGAGCTCTGCTGGTGAGAGGGGAAGGAGGTAATTATTTCCCAAGAGTGTGCACTGCAAAGCACCCTCATCGCTGTGGGTTTAATGGCTGATTAGCTGCAACAGGGTGATTTTGTGGTTCTCCATCACCTTCTGCTGATCAAGAGGCATCCAGCTGTTCAGGGACCCTGCAGCTTACCTGCAGGCAAGTGCTCCCCATAGGGGAGCGGAAGCAGTCAGACAATAGACACACACACACACACACACACACACACGTGTTGGGCACCACTCCCCAAGTGGGGTATCAAGAGCAGTTGCACTTACCGCGTTGTTTCTCAGATGATGGAAATCTTCTCTGAAGGAGAAATTACTAAAATCAGCAATCAGAAGCTTTTGAAGGATGAGAGGAAAACTGAAGCCAGTGACTGCAGTGTACCCCTAGCTCCCACCACCCGGATCCAGGTGTCCTCTGTGGATGGAGTCAAGCCTGCCATGTGCCATGCACCGCGTGTTTTTTGTGTGTTCTGTAGGCTGTAGCACTGCTTAGTGGCAGACCCACCTCTGCTCTCAGAGCGAGGACAGGGAGGACACCCCTCCTGTACAGATGGAGTAAATATCACCGTGAAATGCCAGCCAGGTGGTGTGGGCAGGGCCCGCCTGGGAAGGCTGGCCCATGTGATCAGATGGTTATTAGGAGAAGGAAAAGGTCACGGATGGCGGTGTTGACATCGGGGAGGGCAGAGAAGAGAGCGGTGCACGTGGGCCACCAGACAGGAGCTATTTTGTCCAGAAAAACAACAACAAAGGATTTGGCCTAAATTCTTGTCAGTTTTTTGTTTGTTTGTTTGTTTTCAGTTCAGTATGACAGAAGAGAAGAAATTGGCTCAGGTTAAGAATGACAGAGTGAACTGGCAGTTAGCCCTGGCATCATCTCTGAGGAGAAGGAACTATGTTTGAAGCTGTCATGGGCCCTACATTGTAGCCATACTGCATCGAGAATGGGGGATTGCCCGGGATTATGACAGTATCATCGTTAGGACAGTATCACCAAGTTTGGTAGGATGTGTGCTGGTTTTATGTGACCCAGCTGTCCCGAGGTGTCAGGTGTACTCAGGTTCATTTTATTTTACTTTATGCTAGGCATACTCAGCCCTGCACATGCCAGGCAAACACTCTCACCACTGATCTACACTCCCATCCCAGGGGTTTAAGATTTTCAAACTTGCACCCGGAAGTCATTTCCCTGGGCACAGTGTTGACCTTGTCCATTAAGTTTCAAAAGAAGCCTGGGGGTTTGCCTAACATCCCTTAATTTGTGCAAGAAAAGATCAACCATGGGGTATTATAAGATGCCATAAAAATGGCTTCTTTGGCCCGAGGATTTAGCCTAGTGGTTCTGCTGCCTGCCTCACAAGTGCAAGGTCCCGAGTTCGATCCGTGGTACCAAAAAAAAGTGCCTTCTCTGAAGTTTGTGTAGTCTCCATTGTGAAGTAGGTATGGATGTCAAAGTTTCCCAGGCCCCATATAAATGTTACCAAAATCAAATATCAGAAAGGGGACCATGATGAGAGTA